AGGAAATCCGATTGATCCTGGGGTTTATGATGGCGCTCAACCCACAAGATGGGGGGACTGATAGTAAGGAAAGGGAACGTGTCCCTAACAATCCCCGCCATAATCGAATCTCCCGTCAATGCGCGGTGTAGGAAAGCCAACCTCGAGGCACATTTGTGGCTCTCCAAGTGTGGCATTCCCAGCCCCCCATGACATGGACGTTGTGCACAGACTCATCTGTCGACCCGATTCCCACATCCCCTCCATAAAATGGAGGATAGCGAGCGCTCGAGTGGCTTCCTATGGTCGTCACAGAGAGGAAGTACAGAGAATCGATAAAGGACAATCAGGAAAACGTAAGTGGCACACGTCTCCGCCCTGCCCTTCATGGACAACCTGTCGATGCCAAGTCTGACTGGCTGCGTCAACCTTTGCTCGTACTTCAGACCAATTTTTCTCCAGCTGGAGATCGGAACCAAACCACACTTCATAAACCACAATGTTTGGAAGGCGCTGCCTAATCTGATGCTCATGAGGTACGGTTTTGGAATCAACAATATTGGCCAGTCGTCCAGTTTCTCGCCTGCTGCTGCACTTAAATCTGTGAGATCAGGGGTTGTGAAGGTCAAGGTCGTTTTTCTAAGGAGCAGCTAATGGCGGCCGCAACAACATTCCATGTTGTAAAGTATTCACTCTTCTTCACCTGTCATAATTTGTTTAAAAAGTTCGACATTACTTAAATAGACTTGTCCACTCATTAAAAATAGGGAAAAAATTTTCAAGAAATAAATTTTGTAGATGCGCATTCATTAGATCTTCCTCAAACCATGACATTTGTTGGAATTGAAAAAATATTGTTTTTTTTTCAATTTAGAAGGGGAGTCTTGTTCATAATATTGATGCAATGTAAAATCAATCCATGACTTTTTACAGAGTTATTAGTCTTAGATGTAATTAACAAATATAAAATTTGAAACTGTGCTTACATCATTGATATCTAAATTTATTTTTAATGTTTTGAATTTTTAAAGTTTCTTTTTAAATTTTTTTCTAACATTTTCTTTTTAAACCTTTGTTTGAGGGGGAATATTTTTGGAAGTACATGCAAAAAAATTAGGGTATAATAATTATTTATTTTAAATGAAAAATAAACAGACATATATTTTTATTAATTTATCTAAATTATTGTCCTTTAATTAAAAATGTATATATCCGTTTGTTCTTTATTTAAAAGAAATATTTTTGTAACAAAAACAGTCTGTCAGAGGAAAACTAAGTCCAGATAATTCTGTAAAATGTTGGGGTTTGATTTTTTTTTTATTATAAACAGGACATGCTTTCTAAAATGATAAAAATTCAATATTTTTTATTCTGACAAATGTCAAACCTTGAAGAAGTTCTACTAAATGCTAATGTAAAAAAATATTTTACTACCAAATTTTCCCTATTTGTACAAGTGGACCAGTCTATTTAAGTAGTGTCAAATTTAAATATTTTCATTAAATGCTTAATAACAAATTACGGATGGAAATGTAATCCAGTAGGTTTTCAGCCTTAACTTATGTTGAAGCTGCACATCAAAATGGATGGAAATCAGTTTCAGTATTTGATGTGGATACTTTGAATATGTTGAACATATCTCCTGTGTTGTATAACACTGACTATTCTCAAATAATACCTTTACTTGATTCCATTCAACTCTAATAGTCAACATTATTATAGAGCATCATTCAGACAGAAATCTCCAGCATAAAACTTCACAAATCTGATTGTAGATGTTATGCAACATAAAAACAAGGTTTGTACAAGACAGAAATTTTGTTTTATGTGGCATTTTTAACTTTTGTGAAACAAAAAGCATAACATTCAAAAATGTTCTGCTTTTCTTTTCTTTGCATTTCAATGTGAGAATCAATTTTATTTTTGAGAAATGCTATAAAAGAAATACAGACATGCAAATATGCTATTTGTTACAACACAATGAAAAGTAGACTTTTAAAAAGAACTTACAATTAAAATGCAATCTAATGACAAAAACAGAAACATTTTTGCCAAATTAGTATCAAATAAATCAACTAAATATAACCTTAATTCATTTGTAAGACATGGCAATTCATTTATTAGTTTCATTTCTTTTTAATTAACAATTTAAACAAAATTATTCATTGCATTAAATTTGATATTAGTCAAGTTTACTTCTTTCAAATATTTTCCTCTGAATGAAAAAATGAAGAGTTGAGTTCAAATTCCAGTTGAGTTTATTACATTTACTTACACACCCTTGCAAGACGTATGAAACTATCTCTTTTCTCTCACCAGCTATGGGTTAAATAGTAGGACTTGCCTGTATCTGAAAAAATCATTATCTCAAAAAATTGTTAATGCAATGTTAATTATTCTTATAATCCCCAAAATATGTTTCAGCTTTAAATGTCCCACAAAAGCCTTAAAAAAAACAATCAGTCAATTCAAATGACTTCAGCTTGACACAGATTCCACACATTCTAATGTTTACATGTACTGGATGTTTTATAAATGTTTCATAAAAATATAAACTTTTTGCTAATTTATCTATAAAAATTGTATACAACCACCACTATGGAAATTTTGTTATAGTTTCTAAGCTGGATTGATAGATTTTAACAGAATGGGATGGGATTTTAACAGAATGGGATAGATAGATAGATAGATAGATAGTTAGATAGATAGATAGATAGATAGATAGATAGATAGATAACATTTGTATATTGTCTGTTATAAGCAAGATTTATTGTATTTCTAGACAAGGTGACTAATGACAATTGAGTACAAGAAACTGGAGAGCAAGGTTTATTGGATGGCAACTTAGAAATTTTATTATTAGGATACTTGTCATTCGGCAGTGGTAAATGCCACCCATAAACAATCAATGCTCTACAAATATGATCTTGCAGTTAGCATTAAAAGCCATATAAAATTTATTTTTATATTCTTGTTTTTGTTTCTGCAATGATCAGTTTCCTGATGAAAATAAGAAAATGTGTATTTACTGAAGGACAATAATACATAATTATATATTATACATAAAGTTATTTCTATTGAGGCAATTTTTGAAAATAATTATTACCACTATCCATCATCTAATTTATCCTTTTCTGATTTTATTTCTAGAGAAAATGAATTTATATGTTAGAGATATTTCAGCTTTTAAAAGTATTTTATGAATACCTTAGAAAAAAGAATAATTGTTCTAATTAAGAAAACGTGTTTATTTTTATAAGTAGAGTAAAGGAATGACATGTATCAACAAACTTGCAATGAAAATATAAATTCATCTTGTAATGATGATGATGATGATCATCATCATCACATCATTTACATGCATACATACACAAATTCAAATTATACAACAACAAGCATTCATTGGATAATAAATCAACACTACTTTGTAATAGACAATTTATAAATCATAGCTATGCGACAATTTTATAATCGCTATATTTTCATGTAATCGATTTTGTGCACTTTTGGGAGAATCGAATCCCAAGAGCCTTCTTAGCTTAGTAAATATTTTTCAGGAAATATCAGCTTCTAATTGGTCAATAAACATACAAGTGGGCGTTGCAATCCACCCACGCACAATATATTTTTCCAGTGCGTGACTAAGTCAAGTTTCCTACCAAGGCACTGTGAGCCTGTCACGTGATTACATTATCTATAAAAAGCAAACACGAGTTTGCCTCTTCCTCTCTTTCTTCTCTGTTCTTGCTGCAAAATGTAGTCCCAGAGAATTATCGTCTTGACCTTGCGGTGAGACATTAAAGAACATTACCAACATACACATACGTACGAACATTCACCACAATATGAACTCTTACGAACATTCACCAAAATACACACACACACACACACACAAATGTTCACACACAAACACAATGTTAACTGTCTATGTGCTTTGTAAATGTTTTGTTTAATACATATATTTGTTTATATATATCGGTCTTATTTCTTTCTCTTCCTTATCTTCAATTGGACTTAATCCAAGTCCAACATTCTATTGTAGCTGGACCTTCTAGCAGGAAATATAAACGCACGTTTTCTTTACATCTTCACCCCCCCCGGTCCTCTACAATCTCTTTCTTTTCTTTTTAATGAAAAAAAAGAATTGTAAAGTTCTTGAAAAATAGACTTGAAATCTTTTGATGGTTTCAACCTAATTAAGCTGTTTAAAAATTAAATACTTTTTCTGAATAAATACTAGCACTCATTATTCATAAATCAGCATTATTCAAAAGTTTTGACTGGGCTCCACAACACCTTCCTCTATAATCTGGTCATGTCTTTTTTTAAACTAGTGTCTATATTTATTTATATTAAATACGTAAATGATGTATAAAAGAAGGCCGTTCATTTACTATCATATTTTTATAGTTATTGAATATTTTTACTTTCATTCCAAAAATTTATCCATCAATTTGCATTTAGGGTTGGGCCAAATTTATGAACAGGACATAATAAGGCGAACACCGGTATTCGTCTGCCAATCTATTTTTAGATGCACAATCTTTGATGTGGCAAAATAAAGAGCCACGCTTTTCTTTCATATTCAATGGAAGGGTTTGGTAGTCGACTTAATTGAAAAGCAACACAGATAAACCGAAATGGACGATCCGGACATTTCGATTGCGTTCCAAGTCATCGACCGACTAATTAAAGCTGATATGTGTCAAGTAAGTGTGGCTAAAAAACACAATAGATGCAAACTACTCCATCCATTAAATGAGGCTCAGATTGACCAAGTGTGGACAGACAGATTGGCCCACAATAACAAACTTTATAATGGAACCAAATTTCGACTCCACTCAGTGATCAAGAATACAACAAAACCTTTGCTTCATCTTCAACTCGGCATCACTTGCTACAAGGACTTCCTGGGTACGAACTGGTCCCCTTTATCATCTGAAATTCTTGAAATGGGAAAAAGGGACTATGGTAATTCCCAGGCTTATATGTCCGATGCCTTAGGTGTCGGGGCTCTACTTATGACTGTTGATGGAAGGGTGGTGATTATCAAACGAAGTCAGCATTGTGGAGAGGCTGCCGGTCTTTGGGATGTTCCTGGCGGACACCCTGAGCCACAGGTTATTCTTCTTCATTTATTTATTTTCACTTTTGACACGTGAAAAAAAAAAAAAAAAAAAAATGGCACCCCCTATTTTTAAAAATTTACCAAAAATCTGGGAATTGTCGGATTTCATTGAAATTTTCAGCATTTATTCATTACTGAATGAACTTTATATTGATTTTTTTAAAGTTTTAAGTATTTTTTCAGGTCAGTTATATACCCCGCTTTACTTAACTCGTGGCAAGAGAATTTTTTTAAATTTTTTTTTTGACGTCCTTGATTATTTTTTAATGACAAGGTTTACTTGGTTAGGGTTTTCTTTTCGTTCTTTATGTTAGGGTTTTCTTTTTGTTCTTTATAGGGTTAGGTTTTTCTTTTTGTTCTGTAATATTTTAGGTTAGGTTTTTCTTCTTTTTGTTCTTTATATATAAAGAACAAAAAGAAAACCCTAACCCTAAATTTGTTCTTGTTAGAATTTCCTTTCTAGCATTTTCTTACATTGTAATTTTATTTTGCTATTCTACACAGAAAGAAAGGTTTCATTGTATTATTCAATTTGTTTGTGTTTAAAGTTTTCTGTTATAAAAAAAAACAAAAAAAAACTACACTTATTAAAAAAATATCACCCAGTTGTCATTGTTAATGTTAACGTACGATAGTGCGTAGTAATTTCGACGAGTAAGAGCAGTGGAAGCAGTAAAGGCCAAAAAGTTATGATTGCACTACGGAAATCAATATAACTGATCGGCAGTGAATCTAATTATACAAAGCCGGTAATGGTGGGCGAATGACCACAATTAAATTCGATTTTTTTCTGGTCGATAACTCCAAAACCAACCGTTTTTTTTTTTATCATAATTGTAATTTGTAATTGTTAATTCGTGTTCAGCATGTACATTTACGGAAATATGACGATTTCGAAAAATTTTAATTTTAATAGATCGGGGATTGAAAATCAAATTTCCCAAATTATTTATTATGAAAAGTTGCTGTTGTTTGTTTTTTTACTTGTGATCATTTTATCAACAAAAACCAAATTTTCAATTTTTATGGGGCTTCCATAAAAGCTAACCTTGGCACCTGTGATAGAGCTATGATTAGCACTAACACACTTAGTGGCTTTGCCTTTGATTATTATTACTGAATATTCACTAATATTGGCCTTGTGTCAGACTATAAGCTAAGCACATATCTACAACAATAAAAATTGTAAATGTGGTTCATAATACATAAGTTCAAAAGTTCATAAACACTGTTATTGAAGTTAATAACTCACCTTGTTTAAGGATCTGTCACCTAAGTCACTGTAGTTCAATTTAGTAATTTAGTATTGTAGATTGAAACATTTTCCATATGCATGAATTAGAAACTTGATAATTTGGGTAAAGGGGGAAGTGACAGGTTGCAGAAAGAGTATAAAATAAAGAACATGAATTCCTGATTTCAGTCAGATACAATTTATAGTGATTTTCATTTTTTTTTTTTAAATTTCTAATAACTCAATACATTACATATAAAAGGAGCTGATCCCTTTGGAATTGGGGTTATTTTCCAATTCTGCCAAATGTAAACATGTGTTTATAACTGTCTCTTTCAGGAATTGGTTGGTCGAATTAGCATGGAAGATATTGATGTTGAGACTTTGAGTAACTGTGATGTTATAAAAGAAATCTACAACTCTATTCTTCGAGAGATTCAAGATGAAATTAACATTCCACAAACAGTTTTATCAGAACCAGAGTTGATGGGGATTGCCCGAAATGAAACAAGTGCAGGTCGACCAAGTTTGGAGTTTTTTATCAGGTGAATGAATGACTTGAAACTCTTCTCTGTACATCTAAATGTTTTTCATAATTGTAGATCCCCTTTCAGCAAAATAACTCCTAGAAATTTATTATTCTTACTGATTAAAGATCATGGGGGGGGGGAGGAAATAAAGAGTCTTGCTTCATGCCACCTGACTGAGCTACTGAAATTAATGTCTTCATTATCATATTCATTTTTTGTCAAAATTAAATTTGAAAATATATCAAATGAATAGATTGAAGACTGCTAAATTCTTGAATAAAGGTTTTATTCCTCTTAATGGTATAATTAAAAAAAAATTGAAAAATATCAACCAGTAGATCAAACTATCCATTCATTGATCTATGTACAAGGGTTTTAATGTTTATCATTTCAATTCTTTTGTCTTTGTACACATAATGCTTATTCTGTTTCCCTTTATATAGAACCAACCAGTTCTATTATATAAACCTGTTTGTTTTTCATAACTTATTGTCTGTTTAGTCATGGTGGAGTAATGGATAGGGGCTTGGATTGAGAAATCAGAGAGCCAAGTTCAAATTCCAGTCAAATCCATGTGCTAATACCCTTGGGAAAGGTATGAATCCTCTTCTTCTCCCTCCAGCTATGGGTAAATAGCAGGACAGACTGGGTTCTATAGCCTTGGATAGCAACTGGTTTACCACAGAAAGAAATGACAATCTACTTCGGGAAAAAAATCTGCCTCGTCAGTCATGTATTGAAAGATACATGATTGCCTAAGCATGTATCATGCATGGCACATAACTAACTGGTCATGAGCTATTAATTAGAAATTTGATCCAAACATGATTCTACATAAAATTTTGGTTGAGTCATATCAGTATCTATCTATGCACTTGTATGTTAGCCAAGTGACAGTGCTGGTAGGTGATGTTTAATCAGCATTTTAAAATACCAAAATCTATCCAAATGTGAGTTGGATTGAGAAAACACCAAACAATTATTTCTTAAAAGAATTTTGTCTTTCATTAAATTAATGATAAAATTGAAAAACAACTTCATTAATTTAATGAAAGACAAAATTCTAAATTATTTATGTGCCATGTCCCTTCAGGAAATGGGTGGTTATGGCTCTCAACAGCTTCCTTATTCTTGTAGCTCTAAGCCACATTTGATTCTTTTCCATCTTTCTATTATAAATTTAAATTAAAATTATAATGTATAAATGAATCAGCTCTAATATAAAAGTGTCTTTCTTGCATTATTAAAATTACATTACTTCAACTGTGAATTTATACAGATGTGAGTTAAAATAATTAGAAATTGAAATTGTAGAAGCATTTTATCAGTGTGTGTAAAATAGAAAATGTTTATTCCATTTGTGTTTCAGGTGTAGCTTAGTTTCTACAGAAATCATCACTTTGTACTACAAAGGCAACCAATGTGAAGCAGATGAGTCAACGCAGATAAAATTGTTATCTGCATATGAAGTGTTAGAACTAAAAGAAAAAAACAGCAAATTGTGGAACTACCTGGCTCCTTCCGCCAAAGGTTGTTTCACTCTCTTCAAAAATCTTGTAAGGGAAAATATCCTAATATTAAACTAAAACTTAACTGAAGTGTCAAAAAATGAGAAAGAGTTACCTATCACATGTAGCGCTTCCCTTTGTCTAAATAACACTGATTACATAACTTGACATGGTGTCTACAAAGTGTTGGAGTTGTTGGATGGGTATAGATAGATATACACACACAACAACTTCCCCAGTTGTCAATATTATGTTTATTAGATGTAGCTACAGGGAATTTAATGAAATCTGCAACATCTTATATATGGGGTTTAAATCTGGTAAGCATGGAAGTTAATGGAATCATTGAGAGTCAACTAAGCAGTGTTTCTCTTCATTGAGGGATTACCATCCTTATCACTTACTGGCAGTTACATTCTTGTATCACTTGTTGGTATCTGAAGTTTTCACATGCCACAGATCTCTGTCCAGAATTCACATATTCCTGGTAAATCCTTGCTACTGTCATCATCATAGACATAAAGTGCTCATTCTTTCTGATCCCAATAGTCATTCTATGATTAAATAGTGCAAAACCCTCTGCATTCCATAGCTGCCATGGCTACACTACCTTTTCACCTCATTCAGTTGAGTCCATTTCTATAAATGGAGTATCCTCCATTTATAGAAATGGACTCAACTGAATGAGGTGAAAACCATCCTGTGCACCACTGTCTCTAATTTTCTGGCACTTCAGTTTTTGAACCTCTGCTGCTCTGATGACCATGGCATCTCTTTCAACAACTATTATCCATCTGATATATAGTTTCACTTATTTTACTTGTCTTTCACTACTTGGCTTGTTATTCTTTCTGAAAATTGACAAAGACTTTTTAACAGAAATGCTTAAACTGCAAGAGAAAAAAGGTTTCAAGAATTTCCTCAATTTCATTAAATTTATAACAGAAATATGGTGCTAATGATTTTCTGTAGAATGGCATTTACAAATTCTTCTTTAAAATTGCAAATATTTTGTTACATTTTTAATTCTATTACTGGAGAAATGGTTTTTAATTATTTGTGGGAGAAGCCAAGAAACTAGATTTATACATTTTCTTGAAAATTAACAAGAGGATCAAATACTATTTTATTAGATTGTTTATGAAAATGTCTGTGAACAAGAAAATTTAAATAAATACATAATGATAAGTAACTAATTATAAATTTAAAAAAAAAAAGTATTTTCCAGACATACATTTTCTTCTCAGATTACTTCTTGTTTTTATTTTCCAAAGGGGGAAGTCATCTTGCTATTATTATACATTCATTGTAAAATAAGCAATTATTTTTATTTAAAAGTTTTTTGTCAATTCTCAAGAAAAAATGTATAAATCCAGTTTCATATGTTTGGGTTTTGTTAGTTATAAAAATATTTTAAAGCAATAAAACTTATTGCATGAGTATATGCTAATTGTGGTGTCAAGAGAAAATACATCTTTTGGCACACAGTTTTTTTTTTTTTTTTTGTTTTTTTCTTGTTGCAGGTATGTATGTTAAACTTTGCCCATTATAATGTTGAACAGAGACAAGATTGTAGTTTTGACGTGATGCTTCACATGTTTCGTACTATAATTTTGATATGCCACTTGTGCCAACTTGAAAAAAGAAATGTTTTTAACAGTTAGAAATAATATAGAAAACTATCTGAATCCTCCAACACATACACACACATTTCTTTTATACAACATAAATTGAGCCATTTTTTATATTTTGTTGACCAGTTTGTTATATTTATTTTTGATAAATTATAATTTTCAAGTTTTTGGGATTATTTTGGATTTTTTTTTTTTTATCAAGGGAGATCACTCCAATTAATTCTACTGCTGTGATTTAAAAATACTTCTATACTTTCGTTGATTCGATAAATACACATATTGTATGCAAGAGTGCTTTCAACATTTCTCATTGAAAGTTATCATTTTCTTGTCACTTTTGTGTTTTTGTTTAATGCTCTTTTTTAGGGTCCATGAGTATATTGACATAAACAGATTAATAATGATAAAATACAGAGAGACAAATCACTCTAAAGCTCACAGCCTGCCTTACTCAGATGTAATTTATTGCAAGACTGAAGATGTACATTGGACATCAGTTGTAAATTTGTTACATTTTTGGTGGACGATAAATCTCAAAATGTCCTGTAAAACATGAATCTAAAACTTTATTCTATATATTCAATTTTCTGCATTGACAAAAAAGATTCATAGCAAATATTTATTTAAAAAGATGATAAATTTAGACTTGGAGGTTAGTTTACTGTTAGCCCTTGGAGTGAAGGAATGCATATTTACAAGTTAATTTTAATTTCAATCTAGTTTGAGATTAATGTTAAGATTGTCTGACTGTAGCTTTTACATGTCATTGACTTTTACTGCTTTCAATACAGTTTTAACATTATTTTTTTAATGTGGATACATATTGAAATTTTTGGTAAAATATGATTAGGCATAAATTTTTAGTCACTATTTTGATAGTGACATACTGTCCAAAAATACCGTTTCTTTTTAATTTTGGAGTAAAATTTATACTGTGAAAATCATGCCAGATTTTTGACAATTTCTAAGTACTTTCTTTCTTTAAGCCTCCATTTATTGATTACTACAAGTCTGCTGTTCATTGTTTTGTCTTTTTTTAGCTCTTAATTTATCTACATAAAAACATACTTCATTCTCAATATATTTATGTTGAAATACCATAAAACTAAAAGTAAAAAATAAAGGAGTTTCACACAAGTTCCCATAGCAATCTATTTTCTGTTTTCTTTGAAGATAGGATTCCGTCTGCAGTATCTGAAGCATTTTATACTGCATAATAATTCACCATTTTAATACATTAGACAGAACATACAATTCTTTGAGTATTTGTTTCTTTAAATCCTTATGAGAATGAAATAACCATGATTGAAGTTAAAAATTAAGATAAACATCTGATGAATACTCGTTTGCCTGTTGAAAGTGTTATTTCTACATGTGTCTTTCCACCTCTGTTCTTAGAACTGAACAGATTTCACCAAGATAAAAAAGGTACTAATGACTAATGGAGCAAATCACTTTTGGGTATTCCATTATTTTGGGGATTTTACCATTACTAAAACTTGTTGGCAAACAACTGAAACACACTTGGCACTTTCTATTAAAAGGGATTATTTTTTCATATTTATTTCAATTTTTGATTTTACTATGAAGGAATCAGTTTTGCAATTAAAAGAAATTTAACTTTTATTTGCTTGGAAAACATTTTTTAATAAAAACAATTTGGGCTTTTGCTGATATTGGTTGATTAGGGTATGAAATTTTATAAAGTATTTTCATGAAAAGTTGTTATGTTTCCAAAATGTTCATACTTTTCAGAAAAGTTGATTGGTTTCTGGTGAAAAATTGTAAATGTTTGTCAAATCATTCAGTTGTCTTACATTGAAAAAGTATTTTATGGAGTTTCCCTTTTCACATGAAAAGGGATTCAAGAAAAGTCCCTTAACTTATGGTTGTTATCAATAAATCCTTTTCAGGACTGACAGCAAAAATTCTTTTTCTAAACACCAGCCGGTTTTATTGGATACAATGAGTCAACTGTAGGGTTAATACTCAGGATAAATACAATGGTACTTTTTTTATTAGGTCATTTCATTTACTTTTATATTTTTGCTACAAATTTCAGTTGAATGTAAAATATTGATTTACAGGCATCACTTATTTCCTCTAAACTCTACTTTTTGAAATCATGATTTTTTTTCAAACTCATGCATTTCTGAATGTTTGGAGATAAAAAATCTTTTATTTTGTAAACGTCTTTTCTGTAGAGTCAAAAAAATATGTATATATTTTATTTGTGGAAATAAAATATTTTTGGTACTGAAAGAATTTGTTGTTATTTATATAAGGTTTGTGTGGAATGTAATTATTTTAATGTCAAAATTCAACTTCTCTGCTGATATTTATTTTAACCTGTTTTCATTTATACAAGCAAGTCATCATTTATGCCTTGGCAAAAACAAACATTGGTGGGGTGGGGTGCACCTATAGATTAATTTGAAAATAATTTGATAGATTTAAATCCATTAAATGTGGCAGAAATTTCCATCATTCACAGTTGAACTATAGAACTTTAAAGATAAAATTTCATGTCATCTATAATTGATGTGGATATGTGGGTGGTGTAATGGCTAGTGGTTAATAAATGATAAATTGGCAAGCTGAGTTCAAATTCCAGTTGGGTTTGTTACATTCACTTTTGCACAAATAACCCTGGAAAAGGCATGATTCTATCTCATCCCACATAGCTGTCAACTCTGATCTCAATGCTGGTTGAAGTGTAATGTACTGAAATTAATAAATTAATGAAACTTAAATAACAAATGCATGTAAAGACTTGTGGGATTAAACTGGTATTTCCAGCTTTTCTTATTTTCAATTGATTGTGTCAGCATATCTTGGCTTTTTTGAAGACCAAAAGTAACTGGAGAAATTAAATTTTGCATAATTACCTGATCAGATTTTAGAATTAATTTTATCATTGGCATCTTTAAGTATTATTTTTATGTTTTATGTTTATTTAATAAATATAAGAGAAACTAAATTCAGACCCTCATCACTTTAAAGAATGACTTTTGCCCATATTTTTATCAAAAACAGTTTAAAGTAATTTCTCTCTTAAAATTAGAAGAATTGAAATTCCAGAAGAATTCAATGTTTTCCTGGCAAATATATTTTGTTCAAGATTGTATATATTAAAATGCTTATTTCTGAGCTATAAATATGATCCACCATCATGTAGAAACCAATGTATAAAAGTATTCATTTTAGAAAAATAGATGATATTTGTATATAAAACATTTCAGCATAGCACAGATTACAAATTCAATGCCATGATAATAAATGTGGAATGATTTTGCCAGTGGCTGTGTTCACCTTGTTTATTTAATTGGGCATGGAACAACACAGGTGTCACCAATGAAGATAAAGGGGAAAACATATGATAATGGAGATTGTGAGATTACAGTAGTGAGGATTCAGATCACCACTGCCCACATTTTTTTTTTTTATATATGGAATGATGTTCAGTTGATTGGTGAGTTTTTGTGTCTGTATATCCAAGAGGCGGATCTGCAAAGAGAAAGGTCAAAATCTGGGACAGAACTGCCTTCTACTACCTTGCTGATTTTTTGTAGTATTATTCAAAGAGATGATTGCAACAAAATTTATAAAAGTAGTGAAAAATCATTACAAATGTTTATCGTTAACATAATCACTGACTTTTAAAATATTAATATTGTTGTTTTAAAAAAAAAAAAAAAAAAAAAAGAAGCTTTTCTCTTTAGTTGTTTAAATATATTCTCTCTCAGTTTCTCTCTAAGCCATGACCCATCAGGGTGTGGGCAATTATGGCTCTATAAAGTTCCTAGCACCCTTTTTTGAAAACTGGAGACTGAATTCACTGTAATGAGGTGGGTGGTAACCCACTTGTGTGAGGCAGTAGTATCCCAAAGAGGCTTGTCAGTGGCTAACAAATAGTAGAAAGGCATGTGAAGGCATGATTATTGGAATAAAAGGCAGAAGAAAAGAGAAATTAGATGTGCTGAGGGTTTTTTTCAGGAATAAAACCAGATTATTAACTTAGAAATGGTTTAGTAACTTCAGGCTATATATTAAAGTCAGCTGAAAATGATGACAAATATTAAATTACTTATTTACATTTGAACTCTTGTCCTCATCTTGTTATTATCATATCATTTTTGCGATTGAGCCATCCAGCTTTCATCAGATGCTTGTCAATCCAAATAACCTTCAGGGAATTTCAAACAGAATATTGAATCTATGTTATCCATGTCTAGGGATAACTCGTCTTCTTTTTCTTTAGTACTGCTCAGTTATTGCTTGCTCTTTTTCACCAAGTTGCACTACTCAGCCCAGGGATTGAACTCAAAATTACTATGTCATCAAATTCACAAACCAATGCTTTAATCTATTAGGCTATGGTCCTATATGACAATCCTGAATCTAGAACTTGGAGCCTTAAATTTACTCTACTAGTTACTGACATTTGCTGTTGCTTGTCACACTTGACTGCATTCACCAAGGCTTCTCATTTCTTATTGTTGCTGCTGCTGCTGCTGCTGCTGGTGAAACCTTGTTGTCATTCTCTTTATTTATTAATTACTTCCATATTGTATTTATTTCCATGCTAGGCCTACCAAGCAGATCCTTATAGCCTAACAGATTCACTGATTCTTTCAGATGTCTGACTCCCCAGTGTTTTTCTGTCTAGTATTTTTACTTAATTTGAACCTTAGAGAATCTAAATTGATATTTTCAAATCATATCACTACATTATTACTAATAGGCTGAATTTCATATATTATATATATATGTGTGTGTGTGTGTGTGTGTACACAAGTGCAGGGTGCACTTTAGCAAGTTCTGCTGAGGTTGCTATAAGAGGAGTCATGGAAGAACAGATTGAAGCAGCAGCCATAAGAACATACAACCATATTATCACTTGAATCATTAAAAAATAAGCACACATATATAACTGTTGTTCTATCATCATTGTAGTTGCATATGAATGATTCAAACTTCAGACTAGTGTACCACCATCAAAAATTAGAATTGGGGAAAGGAAGAGATGCTAGTTGAAACATCTATGTAATCAACAGATAAACTAAGGTTGCTTGGTCCTCTTCATCATTATTCCAAGTTATTGATCACTCTCAGGAATCAATCAACTTTAATTTTGTGTGTGATGTGGCTTACTTGGTCTTGCAACATTTCAACTCTGAGCTTAGGACTTCTTCAATCTTATCTAAACACAATGTGGGTCACTAAACCAGTGATTCAGACAACTGATGCTCCCATCTGAAGAGATACACATCAACCCACCTTGTATAGGTATAATTTTACATATGTTACTTTGGCTAAGGAATCTTGACCCTCTGGTCACCACAGAAAGACACATACAATATGTAGTACAAACTCATCCTTAGTAAAGTGTTACAATAGAAAACTGTTTTAACTAAAAAAAACACTGGAAGCTTTTGTATATATCAAGTGTGAAATGAAAAATGTTAAAAAGAAAATAAATCTTAAAAATACAAATAAAATTTTAACTTTCATTAAAGTTAACAATTTTGTAGTGACTGAAAAAGTATTTCAAGACATTTCTTTGTTCTGGAACTTCTGATTTTAGCAATGCATTAGCAAGTAATTAAAGACAATTTGTAGATAGTAATAAAAGATGGGTAAGCAATGGTAGTCCTGAAGCATCTGACAATATATTTTGTTGATATGACCTTTGACAAAAAAACATCCTCATTCTCAAGTGTTCAATCTAACTTATTACGTTTTTTTCATCAGTTGTTGCTATACTTTAAGAAAACCTTTAAAAGTAAGAATAGACTTTAATGTTTGCTATATACTTTGTTAGATGCAGTATGTGTAGGTGTTGTAATTTGGGCTGAATTTTATAGCCATACTTATAAAATTGTGCTCCACCCAGATTTATGTACCACCTTAAAATAGTTTTCAAAATTATTCTTAACTGTATCTATTCTCCGTTTGTTGGTTTGAACCACTTAAGACACAAAGCCACAATTACTGAGAACTCAGTGGGTAACAAATTCACTTTTGGTGGATTGTGTAACAAGTGC